TTTATATTTCTACAATTAGGTACAAAAGTATGTATAAAGAAGTCATTGTTATTGTCATTTGTGCGTTAGCTAGTGATGTACATTTTACTTACAAGAACTATCGAAAAATGATTGTTAAGGAAGCAGCAAATAAAAAAAATAATTAAAAAAATAGTGTAGTGCAGGAACTTGAATAACTTCAAAAATTAACTGGATTTTTACCATGATAGTTCTAAAAAAATTAAAAAAATGTTCATATAACATGTTCCTGAGAATAAGCTGAGCCTACCTGCCTTTTGCTGGATTTTAATTCAAATGTAAAAAATCCCAGGTGACTCTACCGATAAACTTAAAGAAACTCCCCATGAATCAGATCGGAAAGTTTTATTTTCGAGTTATGATCTTTGGAGAAAAATATTAACTGCCATAGACAGTTTCCCCGAAATTTCTTTTTTTAACATATTGTTAATATAAATAGGTAGATACTTAACTAAGTATATACCTATTTATATTTTATAAATAGTTTTGATGGGGAAATAAAAAACGGGGACACAGGGTACATAATAGCTGCTTTATTTTTCATATAAGTATTACTTTTGATAATTACAAACATTTAATAATGAAATACCATTTTAGAAATTTATTTTAACATTCGACTTAAATACGAACTAATTTTAGTAAGGATACTTGTAGGAATGAGTTAAATAAAATTGTTTTGTTTAAAAGTCAATATGTTTATGAGGCTTAAAGGTATAATGTAATGATAAACTTATTATCATTTAAGCTGCAAGAATTAAAAAAAAATAATGACCTTAACAGAGTAAAGTGTCTGAGGATACAGATGCACTCTCTATTATCTCAATCTCGGTATGTTATGAAAATGGTCACATATTCATTTTTTTTATAGGAGAGGGGGCAAACGAGCATGCGGCTCACCTGATGGTAAGGACTACCGCCGCCCATGAATAACTGCAACACCAGAGGAATCGCAGATGCGTTGCCGGCCTTTTAAAAAGGAGTAGGCTCTTTTCTTGAAGGTCCCTAAGTCGTATCGGTCCGGAAAAATCGCTGGTGGTAATCGATTCCACAAGGAAGTTTGTGCGAGGAAGAAAACTTCTTCTAAATCGCACAGTGGTGGACCGCCAATCATCCAGATGGTATGAATGGTATCGCGAGTTTTGTCGCGATGAGCGATGGTGAAATTTGGCGGCTGGAATTAGTCCGAACAATTCCTCAGAGCACTCCCCGTGATAGATGCGATAAAATACGCAAAGAGATGCAACATCTCTACGCAGTGCCAATGAGTCAAGCCGATCGGAAAGAACTCGGTCGTCGACGATTCGAACCACTCTGCGCTGGATGCGGTCAAGTGGAAGGAGAGCCCCTGCCCAGAGATGGGAACAGTATTCCATGTGAGGCCGAACCTGCGCCTTGTAAAGTTGCAAGCGGTGTGCCGGCATGAAATACTGTCCCGCTCTGCTGAGCACGCCAAACTTTTTAGAGGCCAATTTGGCCTTCTCTTCCAAGTGACCACGAAACTGCACGTCACTCGATATGTCGACACCCGATACAGGCTGAGGCACCAAGGGGAGTGTCTTGAAACTGAGGAGATACGACAAAGGTGTTCTTTTTAACGGTAAACGCGCAAACTTGTGTCTTCTGGGGATTGAACTGGACTAGATTTAGTCGACCCCAGTCTGAGACTTTGTTTAACAAAGTCTCGACTTCAGACACAAGTTTGTTCCGGTACTTGGCGACGTTTTCCCGAGAAATATTGGCACGGCCGGTGTATAAGGCATCACGAGTGCTATCGTCCGCATAGCGATGAATGTTACTGGCTTGCAACATATCATGTACTGACCACAGCAAGTGCAACTTAATCTCGCAGATCTATTGATCCGCGCAGCTATAACTTATCCACGAGTTCCTCTTCTCTACGACTAACACTGTAGGCGATGAACTACGCTATTTAAGCCCACGGCACAACGTCGTCAGCCATGAAGCATAAATCGGGCATCGAGCATTGCGAGTATCAAACACTATGGAATTTATACTATCCTAGCAAATCGATATAGTTGAGTCAATCCCTAGCGTACATATAGAATTGCGTGCCGAATTGCGCCGACCTATCATTCAAATTCGGTTACAGAGTCATGAGTTTTGGTATCCTTTTCTATCTTGCATTTTTATCATAAGGAATTTTCTTCTCCCTTGCACACTATGTCGGTCTACACGCCAGTATATTCTAAGTCTATGAATACAATAGTCTTTATCCGCTTAGGACCCTCGGGATACTATTGTGATTAACAGTCCGCTTTGTTAAGCTCAAAAATGTTGCAATGTAACACTTCGGCATTTATAGTGCAGTGTTTTGCAAACAAAAAACATTGCAGCATCAAATAGGCTGTAGAGTATAAGCTCCTTTGCTTTAAATAAATAGAGCAACATAGAGCATAGACAAGTGTCAACGTCAAGTCGGAAGACAATGATTTAATTTAGTCTGTGATAATGATTTTGTCAATGACCATAGATAAATAAATATGTATGTCTATGTCAATAACAAATTGTCGTCAGTGTCAAATGTTTTTAGAATAATATAATTTCTACATTCTTTAATTTTTTATTTCCTTTTTAGAAGTTTTAAGAGCATGTGTTAATTTTTAAAGCTTTATCATTTACAGCTTTTGGTGAGTTTGTAACAAACAAATTATTCCTATTAAAGAGTGTGGATGTAATAATGATAATGTATATACATCTATTTAATGATCAATGAATCAATATAACATTCTTTATTGTACACCAAAACACATTAAAACGAAAGCAAAATAAAATAAATTAGGTTTATTGAACGTACGTAATTTACAATACGTGTCGTTATTACAAGATGGTCTTCAATTTTGTGAAATTGAATGTTGAATTATTTAGTTCAAGAGAGGGTGGTTTTAGCACCGCCTTTTGTATGAATGATAATATTGGAAAAAAATTGTTCATTTCTATTCTCTTTATATAAAAAAAATGTTATTTAAGTCTGTGAGTGCAAACTTGATTGTTGATGATGTCCTGATTGACCCTGTACCATTACAGCCAATTAAAGTACAGTGCTGCACATAGGCCTCCCCCATAGATTGCTTCATAGAGGAGATATTTGCCATATTTGCCACACTTAGCAAATGGGATTCCAACTGCAGTTTTTTATTATTTTGAGCTGTTCGTAAAAAGACACTGCTGCCTATCTCCTACATTTGTTTCCCTATGTTGCCTCTTATGACACCCTCGGAATGCTGTTCTCTCACACTGTATCTAAGTTTACCTACCCGTAATATTATTTAAAATTATTATAACAAACTAATTAGGCTAACAGATCAGTAAGCTGTAGTGGTAATAGGCTGACAATATAACTTGATGAACCAACAACTAATGTGGCAGAAAGGTTAATTTAGTGGCAATAATACCATACTTGTAAGCAATTTGTAAGGTGGGCAACATTCAGGAAATTGATACAGGCTTTAAAAAATCGACTGCTGAATAAAGTGCACCCTTATAAATTTGCTTCATAGGGTGGATATTTGCTATAGTTACCTCTCTTGATAGGTGGGTTGGCAACCGCAGTTTTTAGGGTTCCGTACCTCAAAAGGAAAAAATGGAACCCTTATAGGATCACTTTGTTGTCCATCTGTCTGTCTGTCTGTCTGTCTGTCTGTCCTTCTTTTTAGAAGACGTTTTCAAGCTACTAGACTAGTAAGGATACGGTATTAACAATAATAATAATGAAATTAACAACTAGCACCACCTTCGATTTGCTGATGATATAGTTCTTATGGTAAAATTGCTGCAGCATCTAAGCACTATGCTCAATAGTGTCTCCCAATGGATAGATCTTAGGATGAACATGTGTGACAGTCATGTTAACATTTATGTTATACCTATGCAAGTAGTTGTTGGGAGCACTAAGTTCGAAGTTACTGATGAGTATGTTTACCTGGGACAAGTAGTCCGACTTGGTAAGTCCAAGTTTGAATAAGAGGTCAATTGACTTACTCAACTTGGCTGTAAAGTGTTTGGGAGATTACGACACATCTTCTCATCAGGTATACTTCAAAACTTGAAAACAAGAATATACAACCAGTGTGTGTTGCCAGTGATGACTTATGGATCCGAGATGTGATCTTTCACTGCTGACCATATTAGGAAGCTCAAGGTCACTCAGTGAGCTTGGTTTTGTTGGAGCGAGGTTTCTCTGCTTGATAGACTTAAAAATGAGGATATCCCTAGTGGAACCAGCGTAACCAACATAGCCAAATAAATTAGTAAGCAAAAGTGGCAATGGGCTGACCATATAGCTCGAAGAACCGACAACTGATGGGTCAGAAAGGTTCTTGATTGGCAGCCTTGTACTGGTAGATGAAGTGTAGGGCGGCCCCTCACTAGATCCAGTGATGACCTGGTAAGACATGCAGGAAGTCGATGGATGCAGGTGGCTCAGGACCGTGCTTTGTGGCATTCCTTGGGGGAAGCCTCTGTTCAGCAGTAGGCTTCTGAAAGGCGTTAATGATGGTGATGATGATGCTGATAGTACATTTTTTTTCTGTCGACTTTTACTACACTCATGGTGCAATTTGAGGTAGTGGATATTCTTACACTGCCACTAAATGGTTAATTTAAGAGTATCCTTTGGGTCTATGTTCAGCAATGGACTTGTTAAGGGCTGTAATGACACATACTATGCCTTAACGCTAGTTTGAACAGAGCAGACCATATAGCTACAAAAATATCAACAATCTATACTGATGGAGATACACATCTTCGAGAGTGCACAGCTAGTCATGTTTATGTGTGATATGTAATGGTTATGTGATATGTGTTGGTCCAATCACGTGTAATACAGCAGTATCATATTACTTACATATGTTTATTATTTAGCTAGGTCGTTCAGGTAGAGTGTGACACAAATATGAAATTTTTGCATCCCAGATATCTTCTTAATTAAACAATAATTGGTTTAATTTCAGATAGCGACAATTATGAACAAAGAAAACAATAGGAGTGCAGCTGGTCTGGTAAGTGAATAAGTGAATGAGCTTAAAGTTAATGTATAAATAACGATTATCAGCTAATATCAATCATGTCATTATGTTCATTAACCCAATACAGTGTACTAATGGACATAGGGGTCGTAAAGTCTATGCTATGATTATGCATTATGCTTGGCAGTTAGATTAGTCATCCATGACAATATCTTATGTTGCCCCCATATGGTTTTTATTTTTAAAATTTGAGTGACAATGGACTAACGGTTGAACTGTAGTGTGTCCACTTGTCAAAATATCCGTTGCTGTGTCTTTTATTTGAAGAGAGCCACACCCACAGTACCTAGTGGCCTTGTTTCTCTTAATTTGGTTGCAGTAGCCACTTATTATCAGGTTGACTGGTAGCTTGTCATTCCAATATTTTAAAAACTTTGTAGTTCTAGTTACCGTAAATGTGACTACTGATCATGTGGTCAATATATCGGGCCAATATCAGTTATTGTATTTTTCTGAAGTAATTCTCGGTAGTAGTACAAATTCCCCATGCCTAGGATAGAATGTAAAGCTGTAACTGTGTCGGACTACTATAGTGCTTTTGCGCACACTCGGGCACTATAATATACTATACATACTATATATACTACTATATACTGTCTGACGTGACCGAGAAACCATTAATTTATTGGAATGGAAAAACTCAATTAGTGAGCGTGCAAAGGCTTTACGTGCTTTTCGAGAGACGGGTGTGAAACACCCCTAATTGCCTGTCTCCAAGATGCTACTGAGAATTACTTGTAAGAAAAACTCAATAACTGATATCAGCTTGACTCAGTACCACATGATTAGGAGTCAGTTTTACGGCGGCTAGACCAACAAGGTTTTTATAATAATGGAACGATAAACTACGAGTACCACCATAGTCCTGATGTGGTCTTAAGACTCTTTCTGCCTTCATCCTGTCTTTAACAACCTTATCTCTCTAACTCGCTGCTCGATATAGTAAGTTGATGGACATCTCATCGCCCCAAAATCTCTAAAATTTAAAAATAATTTTTTTTATAGGATAGGGTGACAAACGAGCACACAGCCCACCTGATGGTAAGTGGTTGCTGTGACCCATAGACATCTACATCTATATCCTCGTTTGCGAATCAAAATGCAGATGCGTTGTCACCCGTGAGGACAAGACGGAATGCCTCTTTCCCAGTAAAAAGGGTGTCCGGTTCTCTACACTCACCATACGAAACACAGCAGTGTTAAGCTGCTATTCGACGCTAGTATTCTGTGAGAGCGTGGTCCTTCCCCGGTCGAGCCGACCCATTTGTGCTACAACTATACTATTAACAATATAGCTGCAGCATGGTTCTACAACACTTAACACTTCCATTTTTCAAAGGGCTTTGGGGCAGAGAAGGGAACGCCCCACTGCCCCAATATGTGTTATATGCTTTGGGACAGTTTGGCAAAGTTTACCTAAAATCATCCAAACATTTTTAATTACACTGAGATGGAAATGCTCACAATCTCTTTCATTGCCGATTGTGTGGTAAATCAGCGCTAAATATTGCCAAATTGTTACATCGGTGCTAGTGGAGATCGAACTTGGATTGGTTGTATACTGTGAAACTAAGGAAGAGCTCTGAATTCCTCAGCGACCACACCTCACATATGTATTATGAATAAATTTACATATTACACCAGCCATCCATCATTTACAACCTATAAAAGTTCACGGCTGAACAAAGACCTTCCCATAGATTGCCTCATGGGAGGGATTTAGCAATAGTTAGGTTTGGGTTGGCAACCGCAGTTTTTTTTTTTTGAGTCGTTATCTCCCTCTGTCACTTCCTGTGATACCCCCAGAACGTTATGGAGTAGTAATTATTCTTACACCACCTCTACACGGTTAAAATTTACATATACATTGTGCTTAAATTAACTTGAGACCTGTGGGGAATGCGAAACCGATCCCTGCACCGCTCACGCCCTCGTCCCCTTAACACTTCAACGGTCTCAAGTTCATTTCTACGCTATTTATATGTAAACTAAAAACTTAAAAATAGTAGCAATTTTTTAAAATAATAGCATTTTTAAAAACTTATGAAAGTATTTTCTCTTACTTTTTGACTGTTCATAAAAGTGTTTTTATGTTTTTAGTTGTTTTTATTTTCTTTTTTAAGAATATTTTCCACTCATTTTTGAAAATACCAAAGACAATGTAATTAACATGAAAAATAATTTTACCTCTGTTTTTATCGAGTTGTCAAAACGAAACTTCTATAGACATTATACTAGAAACGTCAAAATATTTACTTATTAGCAGAATTATTCAAAAAGTAGTCAAAAATAAGAAGAGTTATATGAAAAGTTTTTTTGCAGTGAAAAACATCTTATTTGTATAATTTTTAAATACTTAATAATATAAATGAAGTTAAAATAAACTTGTAAACTATATTCTCAAATTTGATTGAGTAAATAAAACGCATAGCAAACTTTTAATTCGCCTAATACGACTTCAAGACTACACTAAAGGTACCTATTGTAAGTAATTGTGGAATTGTTTACCACCGACGATTTTTACGGACCGATACGACTTAGGGACCTTCAAGAAAAGAAAAGAGCTTACTCCTTTCTAAAAGCCCGGCAACGCACCTGCAATTGCTCTGGTGTTGCGGTTGTTCACTTACCATCACGTGAGCCGCATGCGCGTTAGCCCTGCTAAATAAAAAAAGGCACTCATATATAATATTTATAGGTGAAGTATAAACGACAGTACCACAGTAAAGTACAGGCTTCACAAAACTAGCGGCACATGTTTAGGTAGATGTGTGAGTCACACAGTGTGACTAACGTAACGCCTGTAATCCCCGAAGAGTCCAGCAACAGCAGAACAGCAAGACGGTCCTTTTTTCGTTGTGAAATCCTCATGGATACCTCCCGCTATGGGGGCGACGGTAAAGTTATGCCGTATTACCCGCCAAAACGTGGTCACCGTCAGCGTTTACGAGGGATATCGTTCGAAACGTGACTCCTACGCTTTGCTCAATTAGAAGCACGTCATGGGAGCAGCACTTAGTCCCCCCGCATCCTCGCAGTACTATCACGATGTTTTGAGACTTCTGAGTCATTTTACTTCTCGAGTGTTACATTAATAAGCGTCCGGGGCCCCCGCCCCGAGCGCCCACTACCTCGGAAGCCAATTTTCTTTTTGGAGAACATCATCATCAAGGAGAGAGCCATGACAAATGCCTTAGTGACATCGACTTAGAGCTTTCCTCTCCTGATCCCGCTCAGCAGCCTCCTGCTGGACCATTACAAATTCCCAGACAGCGGCTACAGCTCTCCACGCTAAACCACTCTATACTTGAGCTCACACCGTACACTATAATTCTGTGTTCCGCAAATGGCTAGTCTTCGTTGAGACTGGCCGCCGTGACCGAAATTTGGTCTAGAGGACATTATTATCATTATTATTATTATTTCTTTATACTGAAGTATAGCCATAGCCGTATTTAATACTAACTGGTACCCGCTCGCTTCGCTGGGCGCACGATAATATTTTATTGTGGAACCTGTACCAATCTCTGGGCATGGGCTCCCCAGTGCCAGCTCTTTCCACTTGACTGCATCCAGCGCAGAGCGGTTCGAATCGTCGACGACCGAGTTCTTTCCGATCGGCTTGACTCACTGGCATTGCGTAGAGATATTGCATCTCTTTGCGTATTTCTCTGTGGAATTGTTCGGACTAATTCCACCCGCTCAATTTCACCATCGCACATCGCGACAATACTCACGATACCATCCATACCATCTGGACGATTGGCGGTCCACCACTGTGCGATTTAGAAGAAGTTTTCTTCCTCGCACAACTTCCTTGTGGAATCGATTACCACAAGCGGTTTTATCGGACCGATACGACTTAGCGACCTTCAAGAAAAGAGCCTATTCAGTTTTAAAAGGCCGGCAACGCATCTGCAATTGTCCTGGTGTTGCAGCGTCTACATTACGAAATGAGTAACTATACTAAATTTTAAGTCAATTGGGTGTATTCCTTTTAGAGATCTCGTGATGAGCGAGTCAGTCAGTGGTATTTATATATATAATAATCTTCATTTGCAAGAATATGTTTGTACAAAGGTGTTTGAGTATAATTCGTTCAACATATTCTACCTTAGTGGTGTGCAAATATTAATGGTCAAGTAACCTAAACAACAATACTTATCGAATTTAACAACATATATTAATTTAACAAAATAATTTATTATGCCACAGTGTCAGAAAAATGCCATCAAAATATATAAGTAAGTATTATTATATCAAGTAAGATTATTATTATAGGTCAATATCATATATTAATTATTATTCTTATGTCAATAATTAAATAATGTTACATATCCAATGGTTTTTGAAAGAGAAAGTAAAACGATATGTGAAATAAGAATAGAAGGGGAGTTGGGCGAGCAAGTAGATGAGTTTGTGTATTTGAGATGTGTATTTAGCAGGGATGGTAGACATGATAAGGATATAGAACGACGAGTGAATGCAGGAAATAGAGTGAATGGGTCTCTACACCCTAATGTGAGAAGTCAGAATGTGTCCAAAAAGGCACGTATGGCAATTCACAATGCTGTGTTAGTCCCTACTTTAATGTATGGTAGTGAAAGTTGGATGTGGCAGAAGAAACACGAGAGTAGAATAAATGCTGTAGAAATGCGGTCATTAACGAGTATGTTAGGGATGAATCTGAATGACGGAGTGAGAAATTGTGTGATAAGAGAAGAGTGTGGTTTGCAAGATATGTTGTGACCAGGATTAAGAAAGGAATGCTTCGGTGGTTTTATCATGTAGAAAGAATGAATGAGGAAAGAGTGACAAATCAAATTTATGTTGCAGAAGTGAACGGCAGAGTCGGGAAGGGACGCCCTAGGCGAAAGTTTATCGACCAAATTGGCGATATATTGAAAATGGGCCAAATCAAGAGTACCTTTAACCGACGAGCGTGTATGCGTAGGTATATGGATGTGGAGGAAGCGAGAGAGGTGTGTCAGGATCGTGCCAAATGGAAGTCTATAGTCTCTGCCTAACCCTCTGGGTGACAGGCGTGAGTGTTTATATTTTTTTTTATATTTATATCCAATTGTCATTAATTTCTTTCTATTTTTACATCAAATTTATTAATTAATTAAATGCATAAGTCACAATTTATATAAAATAATATCAAAAACATTATTTTTTTAAACATTAGAATCTTGTAATTACGTAATTAATTATATTCTAAAATTATCATTCATTATTACTCGTATGTAGGTCGTTGTCGTTTAAGAACTCTTCTACAGAATAATAACATTTAGTGAGCAACAATGCTAAAACAGATTTCTTAAATAACAATAAACTTTTACGCTTTAAATTATCAGGTAATTTATTATAAATTCTTATCGACATCGCAGATGCATTTCTTATTGTAAATTTTAGATGATTTCCTGGTGCATATAACCTATTCTTGTATACCCTTACTTGCACTCACTTCACACTTACGTTGAAATAAATGTGGATGCTTATGAACAAACAACATGCACATTTCAAATATGTATAATGAAGGCAAAGGCAGGATCTTTTTAGTTTTGAACAAAGGTTTGCAACTCACTAAAGGACCAACACCACAAAGAGCTCTTATGCAGCGTTTTTGTGCTTTAAATGCTTTATCCGAATCCACCGAATACCCCCAGAGTAGAACACCATATCGTAGTATGGATGAGATATATCCATGATATGCCATCAGTGCAGCTCTTTCTGATACAATATTTCTTAGTCTATGCAATACAAAAACGAAACGATCTATTTTAGTACATAGGCTTTCTATATGAGGCTTCCAACTACAAAATTAATCAAATATTTTTCCTAGAAATGTCGTGGAAACGACTTCTTCAATTATCGGGTTGTTATATGTGAGTTTAATATCATTTGAAATGTTTTTGAGGGTTTTATATTCAATAAATTTCGTCTTATTTATATTTATATCTAAATTATTTATATTCATCCATTGTATGACCTCATTTAGAGCACCATTACCTGCGATTTCAAGTGCAGATCTATTATTACCTTTAACTATAAGAGTAGTGTCATCAGCGAATAAAATGCATTTGCTTGTAGTAAAGTCAGGAAGGTCGTTAATGTATATCAAGAACAGCAAAGGTCCCAATACACTGCCTTGTGGAACACCAAAACTGTTTGTAAGATATTGGGAGCGTTTTGATGTCTTTGTGTTCTTTATGACTTTTGTAACTTCAACACACTGCTTACGATTTCTAAGATAACTCTCAATCCAGTTTTGGGCTGTTTCTCTTATTCCATACCTTTCTAATTTATCTAGTAGAAGACTGTGTGATACGAATTATATATATAAGAAAATAGATTGCACGAAGAGTGAGGATTTATAATTCTACCCTCACTTCTTTGCATTTTCTTTTATTTTCCGCCCGCATTCATAACATTTGATTATATTTCAGCAATAATTAGCAATTAAAGTGTTTGCCGCAGTGCAGTTACCAAGTTGACATCAACTAAATATTCAATAGGTGCTGCAAATGATGCGTAAACAATGTGTAAACAAAGACACTCTCACTTGTGTATGTGATTATCACTGACCGTAGAAGCGGGAATGTACTAATGGTTGCTATCACTTTCTTTCACAGCGAAGATCCGCGATAGTAGAAAGAATACGGTTGCGCGAGGAATGGTCTGCTTTGAAAGGTACCGACGACGCTCAACCAACTGCTATTCTCAGGAAAAGGCAGAACAACATTTTGAAGAAGAAACAGGACAATGTGGTTGTGAGCAATAATGACAAATGTAATAGAAATAAAGTTCGGGTCAAAGTGGGAACGGAGGATCCAAGAGTGAGTACAATTCATTACAGTTTACGATTGAAGATGGGCCTCCCCCATAGATTACTTCATATGAGGGGATATTTGCCGCAGGTTTTTATTATTTTGAGCTGTTATCAGGAAGACGCTCCTGGATATCTCCTGTTTGTTTATTTCTTTTTTTTTTATAAAATTAAAGTGACAAAGGAACTTGCAGTTCATCTGATGGTAAGTATTTACTGCAACCCATGGACTCCTGCGAGCAACTTCAAACAGTGAAGGCTACAGATGCGTTGTCACCTCTGAGGACTAAGATGGAATGCCTAGCAACCTGTAATTATATTGGCAGTCTTTACCCTTCAGAGTGGATCACATCAGGCTTTATATAAATCGATGCAACTCAACAAATGCTTAAAGGTGCTAATTTTTGAGGGTTCCATACCCGAAGGGTAATGGAATCTAATAAAGGTTCCATTGCCCTTCGGGTAGATATAGGACCCTATTACTACGCCTCCGCTCTCCATCCGTCCGTCCGTCCGTCTGTCTATCTGTCAGCGGACTGTATATCATGATCCGTAATAGGTAGACAGTTGAAATTTTCACAGAACGTGTATTTCTGTTGCCGCTATAACAACAAATAATAAAAATAAATTAAAAATTAAAGGGGGCTCCCATACTAGAAACGTGTTTTTTACCTACATAATATTAAATCTTGTACGGTGGTACAGAACACCTCATGCGCGAGTCTGACTCGCACTTGGCCGGTTTTTATAGAATGTTGGCAAACAAGCACACAATCTACCTGATGGTAAGTGGATGTTGTAGGCCATAAACATCTACATATATCATTGATATAGAGCCAAATTGCAGAATGCGTTATCACCCCTGAAGTTTAAGATGAAACGCCTCGTTTCCAGTAAAAATGGTATCCGATTCTCTACACTTACCACACGAAACACATCAGTATTAATCTGCTATTTCACGCTGGTATTCTGTGAGTGGAATGATCGTTCACCGGTCCCATTCGTGGTACAACCATAATATAGCTGGAACGTGAATCTACCACGAATTATAGATATAAAATGAATAAAACTTCAGTTTACCCGCGCAATGGCGGCAACGAACGAGGCGCTTCGCGGTGTAGTGGCGCTGGTTGAAGTGGGGGCGGAGCACCGGGCGCTCGCCCTCAGGGCCGCCCTCACTGCTCTAGGAGCTACCGTTGTGCCAGCTTGGAGCCCACTTGTCACGCATCTTATTTGGTCTCAGGGTGAGTTTGATTATATACCAATAATGCTACATTTTTTTAACCGACTTCAAAGAAAGGAAGAAAGCAAGAAGGTTCTCTGTTTCCTGTATCCATTACAGCTTATAAAAGTCCATTTCTGAATGTAGGCCTCTCCTGTATATTGCCTCGTATTGGCTACCTCAGTTTTTTGTTATTTTAGAGTCATTATCAGGAAGAGTATCTTATGTTTCATATCCCTCTGTCGTCTTTTACAATGGGAGTCGCATTGTATGGGGTAGTGGATATTCTTACACCGCCACTACAAGGTTGTTTTACTGTACATTTGTATACTTTGTATGTGCGCGATTTTTTTAAACGTACGTTTTGTATACCTTTTTCATATAATCTACAGTACTTACGAGGGCTGCACTAAAAGTATCGAATGGAATGGTTGCTTCAATGATTGGTTCCATCGTATGGAAAAATGTGTCAAATTTCGCGGAGAATACTTCGAAAAGCAATAAATACATTTTTAAATAGTAATGTTGTGTCACTTCCTTGATTCCCGAAATTTGCAGTGCCGCCCTCGTATGAGAAGATTTTAGTTTATTAAAAAATTGGTTTTCAATTTTCGGTTCATTTAAAAAAAACATTTCTTTTTATATTGGCCCATCACAACTGATTTTATGGGACACTTCCATTATAGAAAGTATTGTAGAAAACTAAAATTAAAAATTTTCAAAACCCCCGAAACTAAAAGTGCTGATGATCTTCAAACGGTTGAACAGATTTTCTTGAAACATAGCTAGGAACACTCTCGATGAATTCACCTTTCAAACAGAAAAAAGAAAAATAAAACACTAAATCAAAATCGGTTCATCCCAAAGACATTTAAGTAGTAGTAATAGACCTGATGTTGTAACACTTGGCCGTTGGCCCGTGTTACAGAAAATCTACTTACCTCTTAAAAAAGGGATATAAGAAATTCGGAAAATATTAATAATAATTTTTATTGAAACCAAAAACATTTTAACATGAACATAGTTAAGTTCCTCACACCTCACATAGACAGGTGACAGACATAATAAATATTTATAGTACTTATACTGAGGACATAGTAAAATATTCTAAGTAATTTAGCGTGCGTGCGTGCGTGCGTACGTGCGTGTGTGCGTGCGTGTGTGCGTGTGTTTGTTTGTTTGTGTGTGTGTGTGTGTGTGTGTGTGTGTGTGTGTGTGTGTGTGTGTGTGTGTGTGTGTGTTTATGTGCGTATGTGTTTAAGAACTATTGCTCAATTATAGCTTCTACCTCGTCATAATCAAGGCTTAGTAGCCAATCATTCAGCAGGTCTTTAGATTTATTTAAAGGCAAAGAGTAGATGTTTAATTTTTTATTAATTTTATTGTAAAGTACCGGAGCAATAAAGTCATAATGTTACCATTACAATCCCACACCTCACATAGCATACTTTGTCTTTTCTTATATTCAGTAAAATTTTAGGACCATATGCAAGCGTTTTGTGTTTGCGAAGAACCGTATTTAATATAAATAATTTATTATAACTTCCCAATATTTAAATATAAGTTTAGTTAAATACCGAATTGGCTTGGAAGCCATTACTTTCAATAAAGCCCTTTGTGCCCTTTCGAGCTGTATAATGTTAGTTTTTCCGGCATTACCCCAAATCGTAATGAATTAAGTGATAATGGATTGAGCTAGGGCAAAATACGCAATCCTAAAAATCGCCACGTCAGCGCCAACACGCAGCTTGCTAAAGACAAATATAAGTTTCCTAATACGTGACGTCATACATTTAATGTGTTCACTCTATGACAGCACACTGTTGACGACAATACCTAAATACTTAATGCTGTGTGTGCGCACGCAATATTGAAACACGGATACATGGAATTTGTGTATTACATTTGTGAGCATATATTACGAACGATGCGTCTGGTTGTGACGAGAGCCTAGGAGCAAATTTAATAAACTTCGTTTTGGTAAGGTTTAATGTCAGCAAATTTCGAGATAGCCGTGTCATAAATGAGTGCAACGCTGACTCGGCATATGATCCCGACTCTGTCCGTGAACAATGATCTCCGTGTCGTCAGCATATGTAACTATTTTGCTATTTTGTAGTTAATAGTTAATTGACACAGATCATTCATATATATCTGGAACAGATTCGGACCAAGGATACTGCCTTGCGACACACCATATTTAATCAATTCACCTCGACTAGTGACTTGGTAATTATTACCAATCGTAACATAACAAAGGGTGCTCTTAAACAAGTCTAATACAATGCCCCTAATTCCAACACAAGATGCAGAAGGCTTTTACCCGAATATATACTACTATATACTACCTACTAAGGACAAATGAAACAAAAAGCAACTTATGCGATAAAAATATATTTAAAATAAATCAGTGTAGAAATTTAAAGCCATAATAAAAAATTAATAAATAGACCGGACATTAGAAACAAAATTTTCTTGTGTTACTGTTGTCCTATAGCATTTATTTCGGATTTATGATGTGGCGTAGCCATATAATATATGTCAAAAATTAAAAATATAGTTTTGAACTGTCAACTGCCCTGTGCGTGATTCATGTTTTTTTTTTCCTTATATAAATCTAGTTGCAAAATTAGTATTAAAATCTAAATTATTATGAAAATTGCATTAGCCTTCTGTTTTATATAAACATTGTGTGTTGTTATAGACTATATTGTTGTAGTAAATGTACTGTTAGTGTGAACTTTGAAAGTATTTGTATTTGGTCAAAAATCTGTGTCTTCTTTAACGTGATATTCTCAATCCTCTAAACAATTATTATTATAAATAGTAAACTTCTTATATATAAAAAGTCTTATAAATGGAATAGGTAATGTAACAGTGAACAGTGAGTTATTTGTTATTACCAATTTCACTACAATATCATTTAGTCTTAGTGACATCGTCAAAAGGTCAAGACGCATTCGTTTCGTAAATTAAAAAAAAAAAATTTTTTTAAAGAAAATATGCCCGATTGTGCATTAAGGTAAGTCCCGATATGGAGCAAAAACTGAATGTGATTTCAGTTTATTATCGCAAGTAAAATGTATATTTCCGCAATAATTTTTCAATTTTGTCATTTCTGGTAGATTGTTCTAGAACATTTATCATAAACTAAATAGATACTGTTCTCATCTCTGGGCCGGGGCACCCAAGTCCCAGCTCCTTCCACTTGACCGCATCCAGCGCAGAGCAGTTCGAATCGTCGACGACCGATTTTTTTCTGATCGACTCGATTCACTGGTGCTGCGTAGGAATATTGCATCGCTTTGCATTTTGGAGTGCTCTGAGGAATTGTTCGGATTAATTCCAGCCGACAAATTTCATGAACGCACATCGCGTCAAAATTCACGATACCATCCTCACTATCTGGATGCTTGGTGGCCCAGCACTGTGCGTTTTACTAGAAGTTTTATTCCTCGTACAACTTCTTTGTGGAATTGTTTACCACCAGCGATTTTTCCATGCCGATACGACTTAGGGACCTTCAAGAAAAGAGCTTACTCCTTTCTAAAAGGTCGGCAACGCACCTGCAATTCCCCTGGTGTTGCGGTTGTTTATGGGCGGCGGTAGTCACCATCAGGTAAGCCGCATGCTCGTTTGCCCCTCTTTTATAAAAAAAAAGTTAATTCTTGCACTTGCGCGAAGGTTATAGGCATAGTGCAATTAACCTACAGTAGGTGGCGCGCGTATCGTACGAACAAATTTATTTGAAAGTTATATATCATTATCATTCCAAATTAAACAATATAACTCTAACGTTGATCATAAAATATTACTCAAAAAGCTTGAAGCCTACGGTATTCGAGGTAATGCACTAGATCTACTAACATCATATTTAGTTAACAGAAAACAAAGTACACACATTACAAAATTTTTCTAAAATCAAGAAAAGAAATAACCTATATTTCTGAATACAGAGTCGTACAAACTGGAGTACCGCAAGGAAGTGTTCTAGGACCATTGTTATTTCTTATCTATATCAACGACCTTCCCCAACATCATTAACACGTTGGCTGCCATGGGGAGTCAAAATGACCGGCACTTGGTAGAAGCGTTGGGGCCATGGGGGGCTTAAATGACCGGCACAACTAAGGTGAACTTGAACACCTTTTGCTCGCTGTCGGCCATGCGTGTAACGTAAAATACCATTACAAGTGGCCGGCGCGACCCCAATGATCACTTTGGATAACTTGGCCTCAAAATATTTTTATAATTTTTTGGTTGTATGAATGTTTTTGTAGCCAGTCAAACAAAATTATGATTTAAATTAAAGACAATATACTTTTTAAAATATTTTTATTATTATAAATCAAAGACTAGTGTTATTTAGAGACACATTATTTTGTGTTGAGATCAAAGTAATTTAAAATTAAAAAACAAACAGAAAATTAATGTTTTTTATCAAAACACAATCTGCACAAATATGGCTTGTCTGAGAAAACTGAACAAAATGTCGTAACCTTTTTGGTTTTGTTTTTGGCAATTTTTCTTCCATGCGTTTGTGAATTAGTTTTGTAACAACCTACACAAAATTTTCTTGTCGTCGCAGCCTTTCCGTCTGCTTTTACAAGAGAATGTTTTATTCTCTTTGGCCTACATGGAATGTTAGCTCCATCACGTGGGCTTGAGTCAATCATTTGTTGTGACAGTTTTCGTCTAAATTCAATAATAGGTATCTTCTTTTTTGTTGTAGCTTCATATAAAACCCGAGCATTTACTACAGCTGTGTTTAGAAGCAGTTCTAAGGCCAACTTCTTGTACCACTTGATAGACTTTCGAAGCGGAGAAGAATACGCTGTCATTTGATCCGAGAGGTCTACTGCTGCCTTAGCTTTATTATAATCCATAATTATCTTCGGCTTAATCACCTCTATTCCTCTCTTATTTTTAGTTTTTATAAATCCTATAGAGTGTTTAGTTGACAGTAGACAAACTTCACGTTTGTCCCTCCATTTCATAACCGTAATTCCCTTACTGTTTTCTTTGGCTGCAAACTCACCAGGCTTTAATTGGGCTTCCATCACGTATTTCGGTAAGTACTTTCTGTTTTTGCGTAGAGTACCAATAAGATGTGTCTCATTGTCAATTAACTTTTCTGCGAAATCCAAACTTGTGTACCAATTGTCTACAAATACAGAATAGCCCTTTCCTAGTAAATCCTCACACAGTCTGAGCACCACTTTTGTCGGTGTAGAAAAAGCAGAATCGAGTTGTTTTCCAGAATAAACCTCAATTTTCCAAGTGTATATATTTATGGCGTTTTTGCTTATTATATTGTCTAAAGATTACTCTACCACGAAATGGAATCATGCTCTCATCCACACAAAGATATTCATTAGGTGTATAGTGGTAAGCAAAATTAGCATTCAAGGTACTTAGAAGATTGCTTATTTTCCATAAACGATCATTTTCACGAGCCTCCTCGTTATTAGAAAAATGCAACATCCTCAGTAATATTTCAAACCTGTTGCGGCTCATAATAGTTTTAGCGAACGGTTTTGCATACATTGGGTTATTAGACCAATATAGTGCCAGTTTTGGTAATTTCACCAAACCCATCCAAATTATAAGACCAAAAAACTTCTTGATTTCTGTTTTATCAGTGTCCTTCCACAAGTGTAGCCTGGATTGCCGCGATAATCGACTTTTAGATAAAACTTGCGTGGCAAAAATATTGGTCTGTCTAGCTATATCTTCTAACAGAGCCTCTGGTACCATCAAATTATAAAAATCACCAGGTTGACCGCCAGATAAAGCGTGTCGCAAATGCATCGGCTTCAAACCAGAAATTTCAGTGTAAGGTATTATCTTAGGTTGTTTACCTTGTGGTTCATGCCATTCCGTATTTGGAGTGTAACCAGACTCTGACGGTGAGGGTACAAGGATTTCTTCGTCTTCAGTATCAGATGGCACTATGCAGCGCTTCCTTGCACGGCGATTTGGAAACCGAATAACCTCTTCATTATCACTTGAATGACTCTCCGTCTCACGAAATTGGGATTCAATATGTTCTATTTCACGAAAATCATCTAAAGTTAGATCCAATTCGTCAAACAACATGTTCATTTATAGCTTTGGTATAAAGTAATAACAATAAACTAGAATATTACGTGACCATTTAGCGCGCACTCCGACCTATGACAAATAAAACTTTGCACTGAGTTGTTTACCTTCAATTACAAAAACATTATTCGCACAGGACGCGGAAGAAATGTCATGCGGGGACAGCGGGGAAGGGACGCAGCATGCACTATCCTAATATTTCTTTATACGTCACTCATCAGTAGCGCGCTCGCTCGGGCGCAGGATGGTTTTGGCGGGAATTTTTACGCGATTTACAAGGATGACCGGCGATTTGACCGGCGTGGCTCCAATGAAAAAGAAATTACATTTGCGCCGCGCCGGGTGTAAATGACCGGCGGACTAAAAACAGCACATAATATACAAAAAAATGTATATAAACATATATTATGTATGGAAATCTTATAAATAAGTCGTTTCACGTCATTTAAACAACTGATGAAAAACGCAAATATATTTGGATTTCCATATGGCAGGCAACGTGTTAATCACAAAATAGTATTATTTGCTGACGATAGCACAGTTATTTTCACTAGTAAAAACAAAATAGATTTAGAAAGTAACATACATTTTGCTTTAGAGAAAATCATGAATTGGCTAAACATAAACAATCTAAATATAAATTTAGAAAAAACCAAACAAATGACATTCTATCAAAAACGTAATAAAATAAATAATTTAAATATCCACTATCTAGGACAAAAAATCAATACCATAGAAAATATAAAATTTTTGGGTGTAAATGTAGATTGCAATTTGAACTGGCAGTCTCATGTGAGCAGTGTGTGTATGAAATTAAATTGTTTTTCCTATGCGTTATATATGCTTGGAAAAGTTGTAGACACATCCGCCGTAATGGCATCATATCATGCTTATGTTATGTCTACACTTAGATATGGTATAACGTTCTGGGGTAATTGTACGGACAAAGAAACAGTATTTAAAGCTCAGAAGAGACGCTTACGAGCCATTTGTAAAATTAACCAAAGTGAGAGTTGTAAGCCGCCATACTTCATTAATTTAAAATTATTAACAATGCCATGTCTATATATATATATATATATATATATATATATATATATATATATATATATATATATATATATTCTTTTGTTTCAAAAAAGCGTATTCTGCATGAGTCCTCGTCTGTATAACCATTTACCTAAATATATAAGAGAGTCTAAGAGCCTTCACATTTTTAAGAAACAACTAAACATATTTTAACCAAAAAAGTGTATTTATAATATTAACGATTATTTGTTTGACAATTTTTAAATTTTAACTATCAAATTTATTGAATGAAACACAACGTTATCTATGTTATTAATTTTGAGACATAATAATTTATACTCGTTTTGACATTATTATTTTGACATTACAATTTTAATTATTACATTATATTATTATTTTTTGAATTATTATTATGATAGTAGTGAAAATATACAAATAGGGTTATATAATGTTAATGTAATTATCAGAATTTTCCATTTTAATTGTAAAAATAATCTTGTATTTAAGTAGTTTGCACACCGGAAGGTATTTATTTAGGTATAATATGGATGTATTTTTGTTAAATTATTAAGACCTATTGTAACCCATATATCGCAAATGAATTTGAATTTGATATTTCCACAATAATTTCTTCTGCGGTCGCAACGCGCCGGGTACCAGCTAGTAATTATTAAAAATTATAACAATATCAAAGGTTTTAATTATCTTTATATGTTATTGTTTATATGTTATATGTATTATTCTTATGTCCGTGTGTATCACTGAAGTCCTCCTAAACGACTGGACCGATCTTGATGAAATATTGTGTGCTTGATTAAGTAAATTAAGTTGATTCTAAAACTGTTTTAATTTACAATTGATCCCGGTAGGTGACGCTGTTGTCGAGATGTCTAGAAATCACCCGTGCGCAGCCGAGGCAGATTGCTAGATTTTGGTATAAAATTAAACGATAAATTTAAAAGTCCACCTGACGGTAACTAGCTTCTGCAGTCCATACATACACATCTATGGGCTTCCATAAAAACCCCGTGTCACGATGTTCGTACACGCTAATATCCGAAATCGCTTACCGATTTTAATGATTTTTTTTTTAAATATGCTTGCCCCAACTTGAAAGATAGAATAGTTTTTATCTGGAATATTTTTACTGCGAGTTTAAGGATTTTTAATAGGACAAATGGTCGTCGGTAAGGGCAGAACAACGTCGGCCTGGCCGACTATACTAATGTTAAAGACTCGCTGCCCACGGTGCATTAAAATTGAGAAACAAGACGACGCCTGTTGCGCTCTCTGTCGCACTTACGGATCTTACGGCAACTTGCCATTTTAATGAACCGATGGCAGCTATTCTTTACCATAAGTGTAGTAAAGACTACTTTAAAAAAAAAACTTGAAATCCGTATCCGCGGATGTTAACAATTCTATGTTCGCACTATTCTTACTATGATTGGGTTTTCCAGGCGGCTGTCGCAATACTCGTGCGAAGGCCCGAGCGCTGGCTTGTCGCCTTGTTTCCCCACTGTGGGTGGAGGCCTGTGCTGCCAGTGGTCGCCGACTGCTGGAAACCACTTTCCCAGCAGCTCCAAGACCCTCAGATCTACCCTCGCCGAAGACCCTAAGACGCCTCCTGGTAAGTTATACCATCAAGAATAGTCTAGAGTTATAATTTCTTCTTGAGAACTTTCCCAGCATCTCCAAGACCCTCAGATCTACCTTCTCCGAAGACGTTAAGACGCATCAGGAATTTGCTAGAGTTATAGTTCCTTCTCGGAAACACTTTCCTAGCACCTCCGAGACCCTCAGAGCTACTGTCACCAAAGGTCTTAAAACGTCTGCTGGAAAGTTATACCACAGTTTAAAGACCTTACAGTTGTGACACGCCTTTGATGTCAAGCGGTGCCGCCGTCCAACGTGTATGCTAGGAGTTGTCACGAAAATGGAAAAAAAGTTAAGATATAATAGTCATTATCATTTCTTAACATATACCTACTTATAAGTTAAAAACATCGAATATCATTTTTTATTACTACAAGAGAAAACACATTTATAAGTGTTGTACTACCAAATATTTTCGTGACACTATAGATGTTTTCAGTTTTCGATTGTTAAATTTAATTATATAGTTTATTCGCATTCGGATAAAATATTTCATCAAAACAAAAAAGAGGGAAACATAAGCATGGCCCTCATTTGAATTAAATTTTACTTAATAACTCATATAACTATAACAGTAATTCACCATTATAAATATTATATTTTAACAACAAGCAAAACACGTGTTACAACTAAGTATAGCTGCAACATGGCTCTACCGTGTACAATGCTACGAGGGCGGCACTGAAAATTTCGGGAATCAAGGAAGTGACACAACATTACTATTTAAAAATGTATTTATTGCTTTTCGAAGTATTCTCCGCGAAATTTGACACATTTTTCCATACGATGGAACCAAACATTGAAGCAACCATTCCATTCGTAAGTTGTGGTCTCCAAAATGGCCGTTTTGTAGGCGTCCACAGCTTCTTCAGGTGATGAAAATCTCTGTCCACGCAATTTATTCTTTATTTTAGGGAAAGTATAGAAATCATTAGGGCTTAGGTCGGGGCTGTACGGCGGATGGTCTAATAATTCTATGTTTTCTTGTTCTAAAAACTCTTTTGTTCTGTGTGCGGTGTGAGAACTCGCATTGTCGTGATGGAGGATGATGCGGCGGTTGCAGTTCTCTTTACGGAGTTCAGAAACGACCTGTGGCAAACAAATGCTAGCATACCATTCTGCATTAACCGTTCTTTGTCCCTCAAGAGGAATAGTCGTAACATGGCTGGTTTTGGAGACAAACGTGGCCACTATTTTTTTTTGCAACACTCCGTGAACGAACAATTTTTATTGGCTTTAACTCATTTTCGAACACCCAAACTCGTGACTGGTTTTTGTTTCGGGTTCGTACGCGTATATCCAGGATTCGTCACCTGATACGATGTTGTATACAGCATTTGAGGATCCTGCGTGGAATCTTTCGAGAGTTCTGACGCACCAAGTAACGCGAGCCGCTTTTTGCTCTTCACAGAGCGAATGCGGTATCCATCGGAAAAACAACTTTTTTACACCTAATTGTTCATGCAAGATTATTTGTATTTGACTCATGCCAATGTCTAAAGTTGCCTGAATTTCGCGGTATGTCACATGTCGATCTTCTTCAATCAGCTTACGCACAGCATCAACGTTTTCATGGGTGACTGCAGTTTTTGGACGACCTTGACGGGGATCATCACTGAGCTTGACACGTCCACGTTGAAATTCAGCAAACCAGCAATAAATTGTGGTTTTAGATGGGGCTTCATCACCAAATGCAGAAATCATCCTGTCAACACACTGTTTTTGTGTTAAACCACTTCGAAAGTCATAATAAATCATCGCTCTTGAATTTTCTCGAGTCAATTCCATTTTCTCAACGACTAAACAAGTTTGACAAAACCTTGTGACAAGACCAAGAATCTTTTTTTAAAAAGTTTTCAATTAAAAAGATTTTAATATGACAGGAACAGTGGAAATATTCCATTCCCGATACTTTTAGTGCAGCCTATGTATGTGATAACCTTTTATGGCATGACTTAGACGTAAATATTCACAAGATGCTTTAGGTATTTTTTTTGATCTTTCCAAGACTTTCGATTGTGTTCATCGTGAGACTTTAATCAGGAAACTACAACATTACGGTGTAAAAAATATTGCGCTTAAACTTATTATTTAATATTTAAGTAACAGAACTCAAACAGTCGTGATCAATCTTAGAGGTTCCTACGGATCGGTAGTATCAATGGGCGTTCCTCAGGGCTCAATTATTGGACCATTCCTGTTCTTAATCTATATTAATGACTTACCTTATCTTGTAGGGTACTATCACTATAACTCTTTCATTTTCAAACTCAAACGGCAGTCAATTAATTATGACGATGTAAATAATGCTCTATCGAAATTAGTACATTGGTTCAACGCCAACAATTTACTCTTAAACGGCAATAAGACAAAATGTGTTCAATTGACAATACTTAATGTTAAACATTCAAACACCAATATGCTTTTAAATGGGGAGGAGTTGAGTCTTGTGGATACCACTGTTTTTCTTGGTATTACTATTGACACGAAACTTCAATGGGGCCCCCATATAACTGAATTAGCAGGCAGACTTAGTTCTGCGACATATGCTGTAAGAAAGATTAGAAGTCTCACCAATGTTGAAACAGCTAGATTAAGTTTATATTAGTTACTTTCATTGCGTGATGTTTTATGGAATTTAGCTATGGGGTAATGCGACTGATATTGAAGCCATATTTGATTTGCAAAAGAGAGCTGTACGGGCGATTTATCACTTAAATTGTAATGAGCCCTTTAGAGAAAATTTTAAAGAAATAAACATATTTACTTTATAAAAATGTAATGTATCCTACATAAAATCATAACTTTGATAAGAATAAGGATATTCATACTTTAAATACTAGGAAAAAACATAAGCCTGTAATACCAGTTACTGATTCTGTGGACTCTAGTAACTTGTAAAAACGTATACATTGCTCCACACGTTTTTACAACAAAATCCCATACGTTTTTACAACAAAATCCTCTGTCCTGGGAAGAACTTTTAATAACCTTTTACAGAAAAAGGTTATTAAAGTTCTTGCTTAGACTTATTATTTAATATTTAAGTAACAGAATTCAAACAGTCGTGATCAATCTTAAAGGTTCCTACGGATCGGTAGCATCAATGGGCGTTCCTCGGGGCTCAATTATTGGACCATTCCTGTTCTTAATCTATATTAATGACTTTCTTCCCAGGACAGAGATATTTTCCGAACCAGTGGTAAAAAAAATTGACTTTTAATAAGTATTGTGTAATAATCAATATTGAATAAAAGATCATTCTATTCTATTCTATATTTATGCAGTTTTTTATATCTTTTTCTTTCTAGATAAAGGCGGAAATGGAGAACATACCCCTGGCGGAATTGCTCTCCGACAGCAAAGAGGACGAAAATGAAATAAAGCCGCGTCTGCGGATTTCCAGCGAAACGGAACGCGACACGACTACGGACAAATCGACGGACACGTCGGCAGACACATCGCACAACGAGACACGGGATCAAACTGGTACGGTTTTATATTATTTTTTTCCTGTAAAACTTACAGCTCTCTAACGCGCGTGTGTGTGTGTGTGTCTGTGTGTGTGTGTGTGTGTGTGTGTGTGTGTGTGTGTGTGTGTGTGCGTGTGTGCGTGCGTGCGTGCGTGCATGCGTGTGTGTGCGTGTGTGCTTTTGTACGTGTGTGTGTGTGTGTGTTGTGTGTGTGTGTGTGTGTGTGTGTGTGTGTGTGTGTGTGTGTGTGTGCAAATAACTAAAAAACAAATAAATAAAATAAAAATAACAATCAAAAATAAAAAAATTGCGGTTGATTACCCGCCCGCCAAGTGTAGCAACTAAAGCAAATATTTATTTATTTATTTATTTATTTATTTACACACACACACACTTAACAACTATCCTTACAGGCTAAACAAACCCAATACGATAGTGTCACTAATTTACTTAAATATACTATGTATTACAACTAACTTACATAACTAACTATGTATAAAAGTACCTTAGCGAGTTCACTCAGATTACTCGAAAATATGTCAATCCTCTCATGAACTTTATTCACTACTAGGATTGATCGGACTATAGGTGAGTTATTAAGCAAATTGGTCCTAGCCACGGGCACCGCGAGCAGCGGCGGGCGGCGTCGCCTCCACAAGTACCGGTCCGGTGCGCACAGCTGCAGGTGGCGCAACAACCCCGGGTTGCATGTGGCGCCACGAAGCAACTTCACTACTTGTGCAGCCAGGGCAAACTCCCGTCTTACTCTGAGCTGGTTGTACCCGACCATCCCCAGCACGAACAATGTGGGGTACCTCAAAGGGTAAAACGGATATACCCCATACAGTTTGAAGTATATGTGCCTCATAAATTTGTTTTGGACACGTTCTAGCATTAGGCTGTACTTTTCTTCATGCGGAGCCCATATAACAGCACCGTACTCCAAGTGACTCCTGACCAGAGCATCGTATAGTACTTTCAGTGTGGTAATATTTTTTATATCTCTTGACTGTCTCAGGACAAAACCCAGGTTTCTATACGCCTTTTGACAAGTTTTAACAATATGTTCGCGAAACGTTAGATCGGAGGTGAGATGGATTCCGAGATCTCGTACCTGAGACACACGGCTCATCGGTGTCGCTTCTATCTTGTATTCGAAGTGCATCGGCTTACGCGCACGGGTGAAAGACAATACCGAACATTTGGATACATTAAAATACAATTTATTTTCGTGGCTCCAATTCACCACTCTGTTTATATCCTCCTGTAGACATTCACAATCAGATGTAACCCTAGCTGGAAGCATCAATTTAAGGTCAGCTGCAAATAATAAACAAGTACTATCTCTGACGACTTCTGGTAAGTCATTTATCATTATTAAAAATTCAAGAGGCCCCAAATTGCTGCCCTGGCTCACACCGGATCGTGTATAGTATAGTCCTGATTCATACCCATGGTAATCCACGTACTGCTGTCGATCCTTCATGTAGCTGACGAAGAGCTGGAGCATATACGAAGTACATCCGACTTGAGCCAACTTTTTTAATAAAATATCATGATCCACCGTATCAAACGCCTTTTTAAAATCAAAGTAGGCTATATCTACTTGTACTCCAGCATCAACTGCCGGTACTACCTGCGCCATAAAGTTCTGCAAATTGGTGGCTGTACTGCGGTCTGGCCTAAACCCGTGCTGCGCATCGGAGAGATAAGCGCTTATTTGTGACTGCATCCGTCGGTGGATAGCTGACTCGAACACTTTCGCTGCCGTCGACAGTACAGCCACAGGTCTATAACTGCTCACATCAGTACCTGACTTACCTTTCGGAACCGGAATGACTCTCGTGATCTTCCATCTCGCCGGGAATGTTGCATGTTTTAAGCACATATTAAAAATATGATGTAGCGGTTCTGCAAGTATTCTCCTGCAATCCCTAAAAAGAAAAGCTGGTATACCATCCGGACCCGATGAGCGTTTTGGCTTGAGATGAACGAGTGCCTCTCTTACTTCCTGAAGACTCAGAGTATCTATGTGGACAGTCGCCGAGGTGGTATCAGCTACCGCCGCCGCCGCGCGTATGTCCAATCGCGGCGGATCCTTGTTGTATACCGATTCAAAAAAATCTGCAAATTCCTTAACAGCTTCATCATCCCTTAAGTATTCACCATCTTTTATGATACTCTGCTTATCTAAATTCCTTTTTTTAGATTTAAAATATTGCCAAAACGATTTTGGGTCTTTTGCAAATTGAAGTTCAATTTTATTTTTGTATTCCTTATGTGCAATTTCTATGAATTTTTTAATACGCTTTCTACACTTAGCGAATTCACTGTAATCACTGTCAAGCTTTGTGTTTTTAAATTTTTTGTGAAGTATTGCTTTATTTTTTATTTCATTAATAATTTCGCGCGTGTACCATACTGGGTATACACACTGTGATTGTTTTTTATTTGTATTTTTTCTAGGTGTACATTTATCTAAAATATTATTAAGTGTATCATAAAAGTAATCCAAAATGTCTTCTACGAAGCAATATCTATCTCTTCTATGAAGCAATATATAGGGAGACTTATGCTTAACAGTGGACTTTTGATAGGCTAACGCTAATATAATAAAACTAATGTATTTACAAATACACAGATATAGAAACACGCGTCAACACGGCTCCACGTCGCGCTTTGCCTTTATCTGTTATATCCCCGCGGCCGACAAAGTCCAGGAGGAAACTCTTTACACAGAAGGAAGCTGAAGTATCAAAGTCCAGTGCAAACGAGACTCGTAAGTAAAGTTATTGATTTCTTATAACGTAATTTTTTTTTATAAGATAAGGGTGACAAACGAGCACACAGTCCACCTGATGGTAAGTGGTTGCTGCGGCCCATAGACATCTACATCTATCCTCGTTTGCGAATCAAAATGCAGATGCGTTGTCACCCGTGAGGACTAAGATGGAATGCCTCATTTCCAGTAAAAAGGGCCTCCGGCCACCTGCACTCACCAAGCGAAACGCAGAGGTAAACATCTACTTCACGTTGGTATTCTGTGAGGTCGTGGTACCACCCCGTTTCGAGCCAGCCCATCCGTGCGACAGCAAAAGCCGCTGCGTGGCTCTACCACTGTTAAAATTATTTTATTTTTGATTTTTCGAGTAATATCCAGAAGCTATGGTCACGTTTGGGGGGGGGGACAAATGTATCTGATGTTACAGTGAACTGATCTAAGAATATCTACTATCTCATATCGTCCCGTGGGTGTCGTAAAAGGTGACAGCGGAAAATTAAAACAGGAGATGGGCAACAGTGTTTTCTTGATAACAAGTCAAGATAATAAAAAACTGCGATTGCCAACTAGCTTGTCTATGATGGTAAATTCCTACCCATAAAGCAATCTATGGGGTAGGCCTGTGTTCAGTAGTGGACTTTCATGGATTGGATGGACATTGATTTTAAAATACAAACTGACTCTCGTTCTCTTTTATCATTATCTCTCTCTCTCTCTCTCTCTCTTTCTCTTCTTCACTCTTTCCTAGATGAACTTGTGTATCAAGTTAAAATTTTATAAAAAAAAGTCGTGCTTAGTTATTGCTAATTAAAACTATATAATTTTTAAGTAGAATATTGCAGCATTAATGTCGCATGCAGTGCGGAAGATTTGTTGTCGTCACAGTTGCATATCTCTGTCCAGCTGTGCGCTAATTCCAGATGGTGAGGAGAGTGTGGTGCGCGGGAAGCGGGGTCCGCTGACGCAGCACGAGCGCCGCCAGCTGGCGCGGGCCGAGCGCATGGCGCGCAGGCTGGCCGCCGCGCACGCACACACGCACGCACAGCCCGCCACCGACGCACACACCTACAGAGTTGTGAGTATTTATATAAAAATACGACTAAATAAGACTTCTACTTTTATTTGAAATTATCCCAAATTTAATATGATTTACTAGCAACAACGTTTTGCCTACTGATTAACCCTTACGAATGTGTGCGTGCGCGGTAAAATCAGTTACAATAACGCATTACCTCGCATTTTGAATTTAACCCTTTCGCTGTCCCGTGCACTACATATAGGTCATTGCTATCGTCTTACTATTGTGTCTGAAAACTGGACAATGAAAGTGTTAAGAGATAAAAAGGGCAGAATGTTAGAGAACCTTTTCTTCACCATTTGCCTATATTACTTATTCTGAACCTTCTCTGCAAATTTGGCCGGTTATTGCAAAATAACTCTGTATATCTATGTTTTTATATTAAATTTACAGTTGAAAGCATAGTTAAGACACACATACATACACTGAGATTTAAAATTGAGATACAGATTTCTTAATGTACAAACTTAAGAATAAAGCTAATATTAAAGTTAAGAATTACGGTCTAATTTCGACCACTAAAGCTAAAGTAAAGCAATAGAAAACAAACTCATATTATATTCGTTCGCAGGTATTAACAGGGATGTCTAGGTCAGAACGAATCGCAGCTTACACCGCGATTCGAACCTTGAACGGGCGCGTGCAGAAACAAGTCAACCGGAAAACCACACACGTTCTCCTTGGCTCGTGCCGCGAGGACTCCCCAGAAGCTAGTCCAGAGAAGAGTATAAACAATAAAAGCATGAATAAAAACCATGAAAACAATAACAATAGGGTAAACAATTCAACCATGACAGTAGCAGGCGAAATGGCGCCAAATGATGACAATATGGCGTCGGTAGTCGACAAAATGACGTCGAGACCACAGAAAGTTCGAACGGTTAACGCTCTGTTGGGAGCGGCGAGAGGCTGTAGGGTTCTGGACGCGAAATGGGCCACAGAATGCTTGGCAGCAAAACGATGGCTCCATCACTACGGGTATGAGGTGCCGCATTTGAGAAAAATATCGCTGGTAAGTGTTTTTTTTTGTATTCGTTTATTCATACAAAGTTAGGTACATTACTATTGAAATTTTCTCGCCAAACTGCAATCAGTTTGTCGGCGAGTAGACGCTCTTAAAACTATACACTATTATGCACCATCCCAGAATACCAGCGTAAAATAGCAGCATAACGCTGCTGTGTTTCGTGTGGTGAGTGTAGAGAACCGGAGACCCTTTTTACTGGAAACGAGGCATTCCATCTTAGTCATAACGGGTGACAACATATCGGCATTTTGATTCGTAATCGAAGATATACTAATAAAAAAATACATAAACACTCACGCTTGTTAGCCAGAGGGGTTGGCAGAGACTACAAACTTCCATTTGGCACAATCCTGGCACAACTCTCTCGCCTCCTCTCACATCTATATACCTACATATACATCCTCGTAGGTTAAGGGTACTCTTAATTTGGCCCATTTTCAATATATCGCCAATTTGGCGATATACCTTCGTCTAGGGCGTCCCTTCTCGACTGTGCCGTTGACATCTGCAACATAAATTTGCTTTGCCACTCTTTCCTCGTTCATTCTTTCTACGTGACCAAACCACCGAAACATTTCTTTCTTAATCCTGATTACAACATCATCTCGCAAACCAAACTCATCTTTTATCACACAATTTCTCACCCTCTCATTCAGATACAGCGCTAACATACTCCTTCATGACCACATTTCTACAGCATTTATTCTACTCTCGTGCTTCTTTTGCCACACCCAACTTTCACTGCCATACATTAGAGTAGGGACTAACACAGCATTGTGAATTGCCATACCTGCCTTTTTGGACACATTCTGACTTTTTACAAAAGGTTGTAGAGCCCCATTTATGCACACTACTAATAAAATTAATAATAATCAAAAATACTACAATTAATTTCAAAAGTAATATGTCATGCGATCGATCGCGGTTCGAATCCCAGTTAAGGCCAAAGAACATCGGTCACGGCCCATACATGCTGTGACCTGGCTATAAAATATCACGAACATGACTCGTGTATAGATTAATCCGTTCCTTTAGGCACAATCTCAATCCAATCGGCTGCTAAATATATATTATTTAAAAGCCGAGGATCATAGAACTTTACCCTTATGTATTTTATCACTTTTGAGGTTACGATGTAATAAGTCTGCAGCGATGACTTGTAGTCTCTGCTAAAACCATTGATATGAAAAGTATGCAGTAATATATACTTAACTATATAAGTAAATGGCTAAAACCACAAAAACGAATCAGTAACGTTTCTAATCTTTTCACTGTTATATATGTAAGACACCTTTGACATTTTATATTTTTTATTACTACTGGCAAAGGTATCTCAGCCTATACAGTCTAACCGAAAGTGACTTAGCTTATAAAATTATTTACAATAAGTTGATGCGTCACATGCGAAGTTTTTAGGATTTTGAAGTCAGCTTAAAATACAAAAGACATTTAAAAATGACGTTATTGATAATACACTACAAAACAAATAAAAATCTACAATAAAATCTAGTATTAATAAAAAGTAAACGCATAATCGTAGTGCTACTTTAATGTTATGATGAAACATGTAGGTACCACAGATAAAAACGGGACGTTTAGATGCGTTCAAAACTTATTAAAAGTAGTAAGGAAATGAGGTTTTTATTTAAAAGCTAAATTATTTTACCGGCTCCAATAAAATAAGCAGGACCCGTAATTTAATAAACACCTAAGTCACAATTTTTTAACGTATCAATCATTGGTGGTCGTTTCATATTTTGTTCAGGTCGTATTTGACCAATGTTCCTTGTGCAATGAAAATCTTATTTAACAGGTTAAGGACCTTCAGCTCAAAGAACCGACAAGCGATGGGGGCAGAGGTTCTCGAGTGGCAACCCAATATAGTCTTTTGCCAATTTCTAGTTTCTGCTAGCCTAGACAAAACATAGCAGTCCGCTTCTCTTTCATATTTTGTAGGAAACTAGCGGATCGTGACATTTTACTTAAGATGTGGTGGTCTCGAGGGACCATTCATTTTGTTTTGGCAAAGTCGCAATGGCCACCATTGAGACATAAATAATACGCACTATAGAAGCTATTCCAAACAAAAATAGTGTAGCAACTTGATGACAGCAGTGGCCAGCGCGGTATTAGTGCACCGTGGACTGACTGAGGTATTTACTACAGCGCTAATGAGCGCTAATAATATTCCGATCACCAGATGTCGCTAGTTAACACTAAGGTAAAGTTTTTCGTTACACAATGTCATTTAATTGAGTTGTTAGTTTTTAATAAAAGTTTATCAGTTTCTAGAGGACTATATTAATACACAAAACAATGTCTCAGTGGTTTGCTCTTTAATTTTATTCACATTTTTTTAAATGTTTCTTGTTTTATGAGTATCTATGGTTTTGTTTATTTATTTTTAATCTTAATAATGTAAAATTCAGCTAATAGTACAGAAAGAAACAATAATATTGACATTATTCGAACAAATTAACTTCCCCGCTGTAAAATCTGTCAAATATTATACCTCACTTTTAAGTAGCGCCGCCCTGGTGACAGAAAAAGTTGTGGATGCTATCATTAAGTCGTCTAACCAAACTATTAAAACATGAAGCGCTAAGTCGCTTATAAAGTGTAGCTTTCAGCGACCAAATAGTCGTAAGCGCCAGGAATTTCATGGCCATTTCGGTTTATCTTCGGATTTTTTTCGTTTCGGTTTCGTATCGGTTTAATTCGGATTATTTTAATTGTACTTTAAAAATTTATTAATAGTTTAAGATTAAGAAATTTTAAAAAGTACAGTGTAGAATTGTAAAAGAAAATGAATTGTTATGCGTTTATTTAAGCTCTCTTTACTACTGAATTGTTATTATATCCATTCGTATTCTCGTATTGTTAACGCCGTTCTGTACGCGCCCACACTGCATGAATATCGAAGCCATACTAAAGTAAGGTGTTCGGATTGCAGTACAGTTTATTCGAACAGAGTGAGTGTTCGGATCGCGAAATCTAGTGCGTAGTACATATATAACGATGGTGGCCACCCGCTAAGACCGCTCCTTCATCATCATCATCATCATCATCATTACAACCCTTAACAAGGCCTCCTCCAAAGAATACCACAAAGCAACGTCCTGTGCCACCTGCATCCAACGACTTCCTGCATATCTAACCATGTTGCCACTCCATTTAGTAGGGGGCAGCCCTCCACTTCGCTTACCGTGCAAGGTTTTTCCTCGAGAACCCTTTCTTCCACATCGATTTCTTTTATAGGATATGGGTTACAAACGAGCACATAGTCCACCTGGTGGCACGTGGTTGAGTGGTTGCTGTGGCCCATAGACATCATCTATCCTCGAATACGAATCAAAATGCAGATGCGTTGTGACCCGTAAGGACTGAAATGGAATACTTCGTCGGTGCTTCACGTCAGCTAATAGCTGCAGTTTGTGAACGTTCAAAGTTTGTGAACATGTTCAAAATCGTCCCCGCCATTACATTAGATTTGATAGACCACAAATCCTCGCAAAAGAACACCGATTCCTCCCAAGGATGATTCGCGAGGCTATTGAAATTAAAAAACATCCTAATTTCGATAGAGAAGACGGATGGGTGCTGCCATCTGCTTGGGATCCCATAATTAATAAAATCAAATCCAAACCCAAGTATACCACTGCTAGACTTCAAGATACTGTAAGCTCATTCTGCGTAAATCGAACCAAAAATTAATATTAAAAACTGAAGGTAGCCGGGCTAACTATGACAGCAGGACGTCAAACACCTCAGTCCCCCGTGACCACGGGAACACTAGAAAGCACCCGAAACGTCGGGAATATAAAAATAAGTTAATATACGCGATAAAATCCGTAAAATTAGTTTTATTTAAATGTGTAGTGTTCGCGTAAATATAAGAAATGATTTTATATATGTACGTATGAGTTAGTCTAGTTGTCAGGACTCTTCAACATTGTTTTATTGTGTCTTTTTAAAATATCAAAATAACAACCTAAAAATAGTCCACCTGATGGTAACTTACTACTCCAGACCATAAACAATTGCAATAAATTAAAAAAAAAGTCACAGATATGTTGTCACCCCTGAGGACTAAGATGAAATGCCTCACATTATATAACTACCTCTGTTACTGTTATGTGTTGTGTACCACTGTCTCTGTTAACCTTAAAACTGAAGTATCACTTCGTAACACTTGTTTAGTGTCAGAAATAGGTCAAATGGTACCCAGAAGAATATAAAAACAGTAATGGTATCTGTAAGTGAATGCTGTGGTCCATAGACATCTATCCTCGATTAAGAATCAAAATACAGATGCGTCGTCACCCCCGAGGACTAAGAATATATACGAAAAGAATAATACGAAACACAGCAGCATTAAGCTGCTATTTTACGCTGGTATTCTGTGAGAGCGTCGTCCATCCCCGGTCGAGCCGACCCATTCGATAATATAGCTGCAGCATGGCTCTACCACGTTTTGTCATTTTATAACACCGTCTAGGGGCTGCGAAAGAGAATCCACTACCATATATCATCCCATTAGCATGTTCCTAATATCAACTCAAAATAGTAAAGAATTTCGTTTACACCTCCCATCTGTTAAGCGTGGCGAATAAGGCAAATAACCTCTGTTACGAAACGGTTCTGATATAAAGCTTAAACCATGCTATCCAAGTTTTCGAAGTACTCCGCTACATATAAAAAAAACTCCGTACTACCACTATATGCAGCTCTGGCCGCTCACCGGACTGAACACCTTACCCGGTGGGCAATCTCCCTTTTTCCTTTCACGACCTAATCTCTTTCGAGGTTGTCTCTTAGGGAAGCCTATATTTAGCAGTGTAATTTTAATAAGCTTTAATGAATGAATTAATGAACATCTTATGATAAAGAGGCGAAAAAAACACAATATTGTAATTATAGTTTTGTAACATATTATATACATTTCGAGTAAGAATAATGTTGCAACAAAAGAGCTAACTTATTGACTGAGGATATGCATCATCATTATAGCCATAGTTGCTACAATAAGCAAGCGGATAGGCAACCACACTTGTTTATTATTAGCTGTTATCAAAAAGATGTTGCTGCTCATGTCCTGTTTACGTTTCCCTCTGTCGTCTTTTACATCTAAACAATGTTGTCCACAGAAAGCGCGAGTAGAACGCACTGCGTTAGGCAAAATGCGCTCCGAATATGCGTATGACGTATTCAACGGTATGCGAGTGCGCGTTTCGCCTAATGCCGAGCAGAAAGACGCCGTCATTCAACTGCTAACACTCTGCGGCGCTGTTGTACAACATGGCGGCAACGTACAAAATGGCGGCTTAACGCAACATGGCCGCCAACTGCAAGATGGCGGCGTTTTACATCATGGTCGCCTCCAGAACGCGTGGGTCACACAAAACAGGATCGCGCAAAATAGCGGCGTGATTTCAGCCGATTACGATATTATTATAGGTGTGGAAGACGGTCAAGTTAGTTCGAAATGGGTTTTCGATAGCGTGGCGTCGTCTAGAATGAGGACTGCTAGACGATATGTTAATAAAACAGTTTCAGAAACTTCGAGAAATCTAAGTCAACAGTGTAACAGGTGGTAATTTATTTAAGTGTGATATAAACTAGTTTATACTTTACATTGATATTGAAACAGTACGTTCGGTGCTTTTTGTAATTTATTTGTAAGAATATAAATCATGTTTATATTTGAAAGTGCATTTTTTCTCTATTTGTGTTAATACCCCATTGAAGTAATATGTACTTCATACTAGAACAGACACCGCAAATTAAATCGGGCGCGTGGGAAGAGTACCTTTTTATGTCAAAGACTAAGTTAGTTTGAGCCCCTGGGCTCTAACGCGTGTTGCAAGCAACTTGAAATTTGAAATATTTATTTGCGTTTGGTTAAGGTAGTCATGGATTTAACCCCACACAGAGTGATACAAGTACGTGAATAAATGATATTGCTGACCTTGCACCCTGTGTGGCCTATATAAGGTCTGCATGAAAGATGTATTAGAATAAGTTTGCTATTATTAGAGTACATGAGCTTCTGTACGGTCATCTCTTAGTTTTATTTTAATTATTAAAAACACCTCAACTACTCCCGTTAACTTGACTAGGTACATTGAAGATGGTCAGTTTTTAAACATCCGCTTAATCAGCCATTATTAATAGCATGAATATCTTTAGAACTATAAAATGTAGAGATAATATTTAAGAGTAAAATGTCTATAACAAAACGTTAACAAGTATTCAATAAATAGGAAATAATTAATAAAAAATTCATAATTGGTCTAGTAAATTTGTTTCAGTCAAGTTGCTATACATGTCGTAGTTCAAATATTCCTGTACAGTGTAAAAAGCCTTTTCACTGAGCCAGTTGTATAATTCTCTTTTAAATTTAATGAACCGTGAAACCAAGTCTCGATGTCTCTTCTAGCATGTAGTACATATTACTTAAATATAATAACCCCATTTTTTCCTGTCTTCCTCAAATGGTAACAGTCTGTCTGACATGGGCCTCTATCTTGATACAGAGTATTTGCTAAAATTGCCACTTGGCAGGCAGACCCGTCGACGTGCTGGTATACTACGTATAATGGCGACGTAAGAAAATCCACTACCACATATCATTTCGTGGGTGTGGTAAGAACTCAGGAAAACTATACGTGGTAGAGCCATGCTGCAGCTATATTAGTAGTATAGTTGTAGCACGAATGGGTCGGCTCGACTGGGGAAGGAACACGCTCTCACAGAATACCAGCGTTAAATGGCAACTTAACACTGCTGTGTTTCGTATGGTGAGTGTAGAGAACCGGAGACCCTTTTTACTGGAAAAGAGTCATTCCATCTTAGTCCTCACGGGTGACAACGCATCTGCATTTTGATTCGCAAACGAGGATAAGTGTAAATGTCTATGGGCCGCAGCAACCACTTATCATCAGGTGGACTGTGTGCTCGTTTGTCACCCTATCTTATAAAAAAAAACTGAAACAGATTGGCAGCAGCAACCTACTGATAACTCAATAACAATAAAGAAATGTGTGTCAGCTCCGACGCACGACTAGAGTTTACTCCTTACGAACGATTATATATCAAATTTAATATCAAAACTCCGCAAGTTGACAGTTGGTTGACAATTGTTATTTGTTTATATTTTATATAAAGTAGTACAGCCGAGAGCACTCTGTGCTGGGGGCTGCGCAAGATAAGTTGCGCACGACATTCCGTAGTCATGGACTCATGTATACATAACGTAACGCATGACGTAACGTTTGATTTTACTCCCCATAAATTTTCATAACCCGGGCTTATATATTAAAGTCGATTCTTAAGGAGTAAACTTCAAAAAAATGGTTGCCAAGTGTGGCACCTATCCCAAATATCCCATAGTCACCTCTTGCGACACCCGTAAGACGACATGGGGAAATTATTCTCAAACGCCACCACCACGGCAATATATGATGCAAAATATTTTTCAACCATCTTAGAAAAAAAGAGGTTACCAATTCGACTGTATTTTTTTATGTGTACCCTGAACTTTTTTCTATTTTGTAATTTTTTTACGTTTTACGTTTTCTTAAAAAAGTTCAGAGGTTCACCAAACCTCTGAACTTTTTTCTAGATGAACCGATTTTAAGGGGCTACTCCATGCGAACGACCTTGAGCATTTTGCCGGCGGCACGCCGCTCGCCTCAATATATTGCCTATTTGAAATATGTACGACGCCACCACCTATTGTAGGTACGAACGTAGTATTAATTTTTCAACATCAATGAACTTATTTATGGAAATACACACAGCGTACATCGATAAATGTATTTTAATTTTTTTATTCGGTATATTAGTTGCATTATATTAGAATTATGTATTTTCATATATTATCTAATTATGAAATTTTATAATTAATTATATATTAAAAATGAAGCATTGAAAATTGTGAGTTTAAAAGATACCTATTCACTATAGGTAAATAAATAGATAGCTCGCCTTTTGTACAAATATTTGGTGCAATAAAGAATAAATAAATAAATAGGATGTTTCGTAGATTTGTTTTTGATTATTGTTAATTTTTACGTGTCACGTATTGAAAAGTAATATACCTACCTACTAATACAAAAATCAACAAGAAGTATAAGGGTTCAATCTTTCAATTTCAATTGTAAAAAAACGTTACCCCCACACTAGGATTTTCTCCTGTGTCGTGGAGGCAGTTTACAAACATAAATTGCACAAGGACAAACATCCAGACCCGGAACAATTATTTGTAGGCCATACAAATATTTGTTCCGTGCGAGATTCGAACCCGCGGCCCCCAGCGCAACAACTGATTGCTAAGCCACTACGTCACGGAGCCGTCGCCGGGTTATAGCTAAAGTGACCATACGTCCCGTTTTGAACGGGACTGTCCCTTTTCTCGGTCACCTGTCCCATTGTCCCCAAACAAAGCTCCGGGACACAAAATTGTCCCGTAACTTGTTGGATGGAAGTATTCAAAGTCAACAATCTTCAACATAATTTTTTTTAATCGAATATGTTTTATGTCTACCTGGTACGAATGCTCCGGTAGAAAGAGTATTTTTTTATTTTGAATAAATTGTGGACGTCTGAAAGAAACACTTACGGTTCCAGAGTTCTAAAGGCGATTGGTTGTTAACAAAGATAACAATAAAAAAACTTGAGCAGAATTTTATTTTTATTTAAAATCATCACCAACTTTATTAAAGCAAATTTAATCCACTGACAAATGTAATTAATAATTAAAAAAAATATGTTGCATTTAATAATTACCGTCTATACCGAATATAATTTTACAGTGAACACTAATTGTATAAAGTTATAGTTTTTAGAGTATAAATAAACCCATGTCCTGTTTTGAGTTAAAAAATAAATGGTCAGTTTAGTCTTTTTAGTTAAATTTAGTTTTCAAAATTTTTAGTTAATAGTAAAAAGTAGGTATATTAGTACCTACTTAGATACTTTTTACCGAATTATAAGTATAGAACACCTTATTTACTCAATTATTTTTTGAAAAAGAAGAAAAAACAAGCAATAAATAATATACTATATTTTAGCAAAAAACTATAACTTAGTAATACTAATTATAACTTAGTACATAAATGAAAAACTCATAACTGACTTTTTGGCCCGACCCAGGATTCGAACCCGGGACCTCAAGATCTGCAGTCGCACTACTACAACTACTAGACCAACGAGGCAGTACTATACTTGATAAGATATTGTGGTTGGGTGATAATATTGAATTAGCCTTTTATAGTGTAAATTATAATATTTGTCGAAATTTTAATTATGGATTCGAACCTTACATGCTAATGGTGCTTCATTTTTTTATTTGCATTTACTTCAAAGAAAATACACGCAGAAAGCTTCATCGCGCAGTAAAAAACACAACAAATATATGTATAACTAATACGAAAAATTATACCCAAAACAAACAAATAATACTACCTATAAATAACCTAATAAGTAATAATATTATAATATTATCGACTGATAAGATGACGTGAGCGCACACGGCGCTGGCAGACGCTCTAACGACACGGGTTCCACGTCGAAGAGCTCAGGGCTCACTGACTCCAGCAAGCCCGTGGGCAGTAAATACGCCCAGATTTTTCAAATAATTTCTTAATAAAATCAAATTTTGGTCTTTTGAAAAAAATTTTACTATAGAAATGTTCATTAATAAATTGCCTATCCATTGGTGTAAATCGCAAAATAAAATAATACTTAATTTACGAGGAGATGCATGTTATCAATAATAATTTCACATTTATGTGGTTTCGTTGTAAGGAGATTATATTAATATTTATTCCTTTAAAAAAAAAATTGGATATAGCTTTTATGGAATCAAGATTATGTAGAAATATAATGTGTTTTTTATTTGTTGATATATCTTTTAAATAAAAAGTAGATAGCTCCTAAAAAGCGCACAAATAACGACTAGCGCGACATTTTGCTCAACCTGCGCCTTAATGATTCTTTTTGGAACGACGTTCCTTATCGGACGGTACGTGTTTGGCGGATGGGAGCTAGGCGACAAAATGTGTAAGTTGACCATGAAAGAAATATTATTATAGGGTGGGTGTACCAGTCCCAAACCAGGTACCGGTGGTTGACCACACATATGTTCAATTGAATAAATTAAGAAATGGCGGGCATTTTTAAGAATTCAATAGTTTTGTTATGTAGCCTAGACTATAATCAATCTTCAGAACATCATTTTTTGCGATAGTAAACGAAAAATATCGATACCTAACTCTTTTTCTCATACCTGTGTCTCGTTTACTGCCTTTCGGCCGCCATTACAGTTAGACGTGCACGTCGACATGGTAAGCTAAATATTTTAATATCACCTATTATTTGCTAATTGCTGTCATCAAGTTGTATTATTTAAAAAGTTTTGTATTTATTTAAGTGCTATGCGCTGTTATTTTTATTAAATAATGACATTATCAAGTATTTTTAAAGGTGGTTAACTACTGGAACACACCTTGTACTGAGTTCCTATTGTTGACCAACTGGTTTGCAACTGGTTGCTTATGGTGTTTCTTTTTTGTTCTTTTTTTTCATAGCGATG